CCCCAAACTCATCAATCTAAAATTGAATTCATTATCATCACCCTAAATCACACCCCTCCATCCCCCGCATCTTACTTTGATTAGAGAATGACAAACCATCTTTCCACTTAAGCGAGAGATCAGTGGCATCAGGCTTGACTTCTTCTTCAACTAACTTGCCATAATTCTTCCTGATGTTGCATCCTATATGCTTCTTAAATCTATCTACTTCTCTCCAACCTTCCTGCCTCTACTGATGTTCAAGTCTCCCAAATCGTCCTCCTGCCATCTTTCCTAACATATTTCACAAAGTGGCCATTGTCACATGTCATTCTCTAGCTGGAAACCATTCAGTTAACTATTAATTCCATTTAGGAAAGATTCTAATGGAAAGTACCTAAAATTGCTTGCAAAGCCCCCCTGAACTGTCCTCTACCAACTGTTCTTGTCTTGTTTTCATTCTCCTTTTCTCTTCCTTCTCTATATCTCTCTGTCCATTCTTATTCTACCCACCAATTACTTTTAAAAAGTTCTTTATGTTTCAGATACTTTTTTTGGGGGGTGGGTCTGCAACACTCCTTTTTTACTAGAGAGCTATTATTACTCTTCCCTCAAGCCACATCTTAGATATCCCATAGAAAACATTCCTGGAGTTTTCTAAGTCCAGGCTTTGGGGTCCTCCTGTCCTCCCTTAGTTCCCTATTGCTCACCATTATGCTATATTGAAATAACCTGTTCACTTCAGTCCAACATTATGATCACAGAAATTATTCAACATCATATCTCTATTGCCTAGTACATAACAGGTGTATGTTAATATTTCTAGAATGAACAAATATCTTCTGATTTACTCTCTGTCAAGTGGTAAAGAGACTCTCCTTTGGGAGGGCCCTATGGTGTCAGCCATGCAGGTAACTTGGGAGATAAGTTTATGCAACCCTGGGATAAAGTATTGGAAAACTATTTTGATTGTAAATGATGACTTAAGTCATGACTTAGGTCATGATCTTTAAACAGTATCAGTAGCATACCTTACTTAAAGAAATGTCCATATATTTTATGTGTCTAACTTTACAAACTCAGGAATGGGTAAAAAGGGGAGGGTTATTTTTGGCTCCATAAAATCCCAGTATTTCAGGTAATCTCTTTTCTCTTTCAAAAATTTTTTTAATTAATTATTATTTTTTTTTTTTAAGAAAGAAAGAGAGAGCAGGGGAGGGGCAGAGAGAGGAGGAGACACAGAATCTGAAGCAGGTTCCAGGCTCTGAGCTGTCAGCACAGAGCCTGACACGGAGCTCAAACACACAAGTGGTGAGATTATGACCTGAGCTGAAGTCAGATGCTCAAACAACTGAGCGACCCAGGTTCCCTCAGGTAATCTCTTTTCTTAGACAACTAAATTTTACTCCTTACCAGATTCATAATTCTCAGATCAATGGGGCTTTCACCAGTTTCATTCACTTATTCTCACTCATCTATTTCTCACTGATAGAATATCTACTAAGTGCCAGATACTGAAAATACTAAATGAGTGAGATTTCATCCCTTCCCTTAAGATCCCATCTATTCAGAGCTGGGAGGAAGGAGGGAGGAAACAGACATGGAAGCTGTTATAATATAGATGCCCTCCAAGCTCATGCAAACTTGAACTTAGCCAAAGAATTCCACTGAGGCATTAAAAAAAATGTTAAGGATGAGAAAGTTTTGCTTTATGTAGGAAAAAAAAAACAAAATACGTTTTATGAGTGGTAACTCTTCTGAGAGGAGAACATACTGCAAAGAGCAGATACCATAAGGGGAAGATATTTTTGCTTATGGAACTGGAAAGATTCTCATTGCATTAGTTCACATTTAGTCAATGCCATTTGAGTTTGTTACCCTTTTATTGAATTCCATTCATAACTGAAACACAAATAGTCTGACAAAGTCTAGACATTTTTTTAAAGACGTATAGGCAAAATATAGCCAATGTGATGAGAGTTTGTGCTTAGTTACGGGTGGTCAACACTTACATCTTTTGACAATTATTAAAATGTAAATGTCAATGGTGAGGCTGCTAATGCTGATACCAGAAGAGTGGGAAAGTATGCTAAAGGATTTTTGCAAAATTAAGAAAAATTTGAAATTAGCAAAACATTTCTGAACAGAATGGTTCGGCAATTGTCACAAGCTAAGCATTCTTCAAAATACATTTCTGGGGCTCTTAGATAAATATTTAGAGCCTCGTTGAATCTCTTGCTATTTCTTTAACACACTTTGCTGTATGACATCTTATACCTTTTCTGTTCTTTCTGATTGGCACAGCCTTCAGCCCCTTAGATGCCTGTTATACTCAAATCTCATCTCTTCTGTGGAGCACCACAGCAGAATCAATAGAAATCTCTCAGGCTGAATTAATTCCTCCCCACTCATTTTGTGCCCACAACATTTTGTGATTTGCCTTTCAAATTGCCCTTATTACATTATATTATCCTTGTTGGTAGATGTTTCTTGGTTTCCTAACAGACTGGGAGCTACTCATTAATTCCTCAGCCACAGGACCCAACAGTGTCTGATATACATTAAAGCTTCCATCTAGACAGGTTGAATGGCTGGATCCTTCTAATATTTTTCTCCATCTCTTCTGTGTCACTGTAATATCAAGTTTCTCCAGTTTGGGCTAACTTCATGATGGATGTTATTAAAAATTTTGAATCTGGGGTGCTTGGGTGGCTCAGTCAGTTAAGCATCTGCCTTTGGCTCAAGTCATGATCTAATGGTTTGTGGGTTCTCTGTGGGCTCTCTGCTGTCAGTGCAGAGCCCGCTTCAGATCTTCTGTCTCCCTCTCTCTCTGCTCCTCCCCTGCTCACATGTGCTTTCACTCTCTCTCTCTCTCTCAATAAATAAATAAATATTTAAAAAAATTTTAAGTTCAGATCTCACAATTAAGATATAATGTTTTTTGTTTTGTTTTGTTTTGTTTTTTTACTTTGACACAAATTTATCTTGGAAAAAGCAAGGGATTGTAGTTTTAAAACCCATCCCTGTCATTGACAGATTATGTGGTTTGGGACAATCAATTTTCTTGCCTTGGACATTACTAAACTATCTCTATATTCCCCATCTTCTCTAATTCTATGAACCTATATCCTTTTCGGAATTCACACAAAATTAATCGTCTAGATCACACAATTGTGTATTTAATTAACAGTTTTTAACAGTTTTTATTGACCTTGACCTTGTTTCTTTGCTTTGCTTTTCCTTAAAAACACATAACCAAATTGAAGTTCTTTATCGTTTACTATAATGTTGTTAGGGCCCTGAGAGTCAGATGTACATTCAATTCTTGACCTGTCACTTATAAAACTAACTTTATATTATAGGTGAGTTTAACAAGGCCAAGCCTCAGTTTTTTCCTGTGTGAAATGAGAATAATAATACTAGTGCAGATTGTATAGTGATGCAGAAGTCTTAATAACACATACATGTTCACTGATGAGTTAATCACTAGCTTCTATTTTCTCCCATTACGTATAATGTTTTATCTGTTTCTTGCTGATTGCCAGATATTGTAAAATCTAATGCCAATATAATGCCAAGTAAATACAGTGCCAAGTGCAATTGCAAATCTTGTCACAGACGCAAAGCTTCACGAAATCAATTAAAATAAAGTCACATAATTTCTAAACACACATGTAAAGCCATTGACAAATAAATTGAGGAAAAGAAACTAATAAAAATATAACAGACTAGGCTTCTTAAAGATACTGAATGGAATATGGGAATAAATAGGTAAGTCTCTCTAGTATTTATCACAAAAAGTGACCATATTCATGATCATGCTCTAAAAAGTTTTAAAAGGACATTTTTATTGTGATTCATTTTTTTTTAATGCTCAAACTTAATTATTTAGTTTCTTTGCTTTTCTAAGAAGTAACTTATGGAGGCAATGAGCAAGAGGATGAAATTCAGCATGAGAATAGGGAATCTCACCCCGCATGTGTCTTGGGGCAGACCAGGGACAGCAGCCAAGACCACATGGTCTCATTTCTGCCTCAGGTCAGCCCTGGTGGTGCTGCTTATCAGCGACAAGAGAAGCAAAGGAGAATAACATAAAGACTGCTCATCCGACTGTATGTTTGACATCTAGTAATTTCTTTTAAATTTCAACCCGGGGCGCCTGGGTGGCTCAGCCGGTTAAGCGTCCGACGTCAGCTCAGGTCACGATCTCGCGGTCCGTGAGTTCGAGCCCCGGGTCGGGCTCTGGGCTGATGGCTCAGAGCCTGGAGCCTGCTTCCATTCTGTGTCTCCCTCTCTCTCTGCCCTTCCCCCATTCATGCTCTGTCTCTCTCTGTCTCAAAAATAAAAAACGTTGAAAAAAAAATTTAAAATTTCAACCTAAGCAACTCTATTCAAATATGAAAAATAAACTAATAATTTCAAAACTCCAGTAGCAGTTTAGTAAACATTAATTTCACTTGTTTCTATAACATTTTACAATAAAAAAGGTGATTTCATTACTTTTTTTGTTCTATTAGTAACTGTGAAAAAACAAAAACAGGTATTATTTCACTTTTACTCCTGAAAAAGCAAAAGTTGGCAACGTCCACTTAAACAGTCAGAGATAGGACACAGGCTCCCTGACTCCAGGACACAATGGTAAAGATGTCCTATGATGTCCCTTCTCTTTCCCCAGTAATACTAAAGTCTTTACACTGTAGTTCTAATTCTCATTACAATCTTTTCAAGGTAGATTTTGTTGACCCCAAATATAGGTAAGAAATCTGAGATTCAAAAAGATTAAATAAACTTACCCAAAGTCACTGGTAAACCTAGCTTCCTACCTCCACATCCTCACTATTTTTCACCCCTTTCTTTGCTGAAGTTCAGTGTTGAATGTATTTATTAACAATAGAAGAACTATAGAGCGTGCCCCTGGACTAGGGTATGGTGTCATGCCTCTTTGGGACTCAGTTTACCTGTCAAAAGGAGGGAGGGAAGGGGGGAGGAGGTGAATTTACCAGTGAAAATGGTGGACTTACCCAGAGTGGTAATTTTCCATGATGGGGAAGATCAATCAGTGCCTCCTTGATCTCTCCAAATTCTGGCTGAGAGACAGTTCACCCAGTTCGGGGGTCTGCATAATAATGGGGTTCAGGGATACCTGAATAAAGAGATTCCCATGCAGGTCAGACCTGTGGCAGTGGGGTTGCTTCTTGTTTTGTAAGCCATGTTTAAAACTAGTATGTGGTTAAACACTGAAACAACCAAGAAGCACATTGAAAAGTGAGTCTCACACTCCCTGACTCCCCTCCTCATGAGCAACCCTTGAATATCCTTCAAGAGACTGATCTTGCCCAAAGCTGTCTCCCAGAGCGTTCAACTTAAATCTCAAGCCACACTGAGTAGGGTGCTTTAGATACATTGCTTATTTGTAGCTAGATGGAGCACCGTAGTAAATCACCCCTTTTTACAGATAAGGAAATCTAAGCCCAGAATGGGGGAAAAAAAATAGAGAACTATACCCACAGAGAAGAGGCTTTAAAGAATAATAGAATTTTAGAAAGTCTGTCAGGGAAAAAAAGTGATTATTTTAAACCTTTCGGTCTATTCAGTTGTAATTACTGGTACATTTGAGACATAAAATTTAAAAATGATACATTTATTTTACCTTTGTGCTCTTTTTCTATATACTTTCTAAAGGTGATACTAAAGAGCAATGAAATGACCAAAAACCATGTTGCACCAAAAAAAAAAAAAAAAAAAAAAAAAAAAAAAAAAAAAAAAGAAAGAAATTAAGAAACCCAAAAAAGAATCTGTAATTCGTATAAATCTCTAGACTAAACAGCTCAGGTCACTGCCTCCATCACCCCATTTAGCCAACTGAGATGTGAACTATAAAGAGATTCAATAAACTCCTAAGGTCACAGAATTTAAAGTCTGCTATGAAAATATACCAGCTATTCTTGCACCATTCACTGTTTTTGATGGCTATCTATGCATATTATAGTACAAATATAAAATCTCATTTAATAAAGCAATAAAGAGAATACATCAGCTGAAACTATGGTCAGTAAACTGTAGATTGAATTTATGCATTGCAAGTGACCATTTACTTCTACTTACAGTACCTCAAGTCATGGATTATTTGGAAAGGGTTTTTCATATGGGTGATATAAATTACATAAATGAGACAAAGATGATGAACATATGCACTTTTAGGTTATATTAAAGTTGTAGCAGGGGCGCCTGGGTGGCGCAGTCGGTTAAGCGTCCGACTTCAGCCAGGTCATGATCTCGCGGTCCGGGAGTTCGAGCCCCGCGTCAGGCTCTGGGTTGATGGCTCAGAGCCTGGAGCCTGTTTCCGATTCTGTGTCTCCCTCTCTCTCTGCCCCTCGCCCGTTCATGCTCTGTCTCTCTCTGTCCCAAAAATAAATAAACGTTGAAAAAAAAATTAAAAAAAAAAAAAAAGTTGTAGCAAAACATGTTTTCTGTCAGCTGAAGTCTAAAAATAACCTATATGGAAATTTTGGAGTTAAATCTGCTGGCTTCATAAGGAGATTTTGACATCTTTTTTTTCCTTTTTAAAATAGAAAATTTAATGCTATCAACTATTAAGCAAGACAGAAGAAGAAAACATAGTTTTCTTTCACGCCACATTCTTAGAAGTATTTTTATAACTTACTATAATTATTTTAGAATACAAAATTTTAAACGTTTCAGATGAGTTTCAGGACCAAAAGTCTCTCATTAGAAGGTGATGCATTTGTTCGTTAAAATTGTAAAGCTGAAAGGCGTCTTTCTTGGAAATGCTGAATTGCCGTCTAAACTAAATAATAATAACCGTAAGACAGGTTTTGTGTTCTCTCTTTTATTTCACACATTCGTATTAAGATTAGCAAATGTAGAAAGCAAGTTATAAATGCGGGCACCAACCTACAAGTGGCCTTGAAAAAGAAAGCTGTTCCCAGGGAAAAGAAACCATTAGGATTATTCAAAAGCAAATGAATTCTCAATATATTTTCACATTTGACAATGAACATCTATTGTGTCAATCATCACTGTGTTGTCACAGAGACATGACAGACACAGCAAAAGAAAATGTCCCATATTACCCTTCAACCCCACATGAATCTCAAAATCCACTAATTCCATCTCCTATCCATTTCAGTCCCCATGTCCTTAGCTCCTCTCCTCACCTCACTAAAATTCTCTGGGGGAGCGCCTGGCTGGCTCAGTCAACAGAGCATGCAACTCTTGATCTTGGGGTTGTGAGTTTGAGCCCTACGTTGGGTGCAGAGATTACTTAAAAATAAAATCTTAAAATAAATAAATAAATAAATAAATAAATAAATAAATAAATAAATAAATAAAATTCTCTGGTCAGTCATTATAATCACCTCCTTGCATATGTTCTTGAGGACTTCTTTTCCATAGCTGGTTCTGTTCCATACTTACCAGAACTAGAGGGGTTGCAGGTTACAAAGACGTAAACATTTGTCAAAAATTATCAAGTTGTACATTTAAGAGTTACCCATTTTGTTGCATGAAATTTTACCTTTAAAAACTTTAAACAAATATTGAACTTCAGTTAGTAGTTTGGCTTTTTGCAATACTATGGGTTAGCAATATTAAAACTTGCTTAAACATATGAGTAATGGGACTAGTATTTTAGAGGGAAGCTATATATGTGGAAAGAAGAAACATTTGTATTGAATTGAAATAGAAAGTATTAATATAAACTCATGATTTTTTTTTAATTTTTTTTCAACATTTATTTATTTTTGGGACAGAGAGAGACAGAGCATGAACGGGGGAGGGGCAGAGAGAGAGGGAGACACAGAATCGGAAACAGGCTCCAGGCTCTGAGCCATCAGCCCAGAGCCCGACGCGGGGCTCGAACTCCCGGACCACGAGATCGTGACCTGGCTGAAGTCGGAAGCTTAACCGACTGCGCCACCCAGGCGCCCCTAAACTCATGATTTTTAATATCTACCTACCTAGCCAAACACATTTAGAAGTGATTATAGATATAACCATATATGTGTATGTACATGTACATGTACTAGATATGTCCACTGAGATTATCTAAAAGTTATGACAGCATTAGCAATGAGCATACCTAATGCCTATGTCTTGATTTCTACTTATCATTTGCATTAAAAGAAACTAGACTTCTTAAAGAAAAAAAATGATTCCAGGTCTGTGTCAGAGGGAAAAATACAGTTATAAAGTATATTATTGGGAAAATTGATAACATTTGAATATAGGCTATGAATTTGATAACAGTGTTTATCAATATCAATTTTCCTGATTTTGTTAATTGTACTATAGTTATGTAAGAGAATGTCCTTGTTTTTAGAAAATATTCACTGAACTATTTAGTGGTAGGGGGTCACAAATGTCTCCAGTTTACTGTCAAATAGTTCAGAGAAAAATCATCTATCTATCTATCTATCCATCATCTATCTTTCTATCACCTATTGAGAGAATGCAAATGATAAAAACAATTGGGAGAAAAAGTAAATAATTGGTTAATGTAAATAAAAATATTCCTTGTTCTTTTCACTTTGCCGTAAGTTTGAAATCATATCAAAACAAAAGTTTAAACAATATCTTCAATGGCTTCTTGTGTCAGTCAGTATAAGACTTAGTTTCAAAAATGGCCAAAAAGTGTCCACATTGTCATGTGTACCTTCATTGCTTCTCTGATGCTGTCTTTTCCATCAATTTCTCTTTCAATGCTTTATCCTCAGATGTCCTTGTAACATATCCATCTTACAAGATGTCCTTGTTACATCCCTCATGTCCTTTAAGTCTGTGCAAAAATCTCACCTTCTCAATTGGACCTTCTTCTTTTCCATTACATCCTGCCTTACCCCCAACCTTCACACTCTTGATCTTCTTCACCCTGTTTTACTTTTTCTCTTCCATGACACCTATTAACTTTCTAACAACCATATGACTTATATGTCTTATTTCTGTCCTTTTGCCATTCTCTAGAATGTGAGTTCCACAGACAAGAATTTTGTCTGCTGCCTTTTCTGGTATATCCTAAGACCTGGGACAGTACAAGTCACTCGATAAATATTTGTTGAATGGAAGAATTATTACTATCACATTGTCAGATTACCTCTGGGAAACATTTACTCTTTTGAATATTAATATTTAAGGATATTTTTTCTTTATAGTTCTTAGCTCACTGTAGTCAGTGTCTATTAGGTATTAATATCTGTCATCATGTTAAAGCAGTATAGTTTCAGCTATTTCTAAAGCATATATCTAGGGGCGCCTGGGTGGCGCAGTCGGTTAAGCGTCCGACTTCAGCCAGGTCACGATCTCGCGGTCCGGGAGTTCGAGCCCCGCGTCAGGCTCTGGGCTGATGGCTCAGAGCCTGGAGCCTGTTTCCGATTCTGTGTCTCCCTCTCTCTCTGCCCCTCGCCCGTTCATGCTCTGTCTCTCTCTGTCCCAAAAATAAATAAACGTTGAAAAAAAAAAATTAAAGCATATATCTAACTTAATTGGAATAATTTAAGGAGTTTAGAGAAAGTACTTAAGAAAGCCATCTGAGCTTCACAAGGAGGCAGTAAAATGCTCTGGCTCCTTCTTTTTATCATCTGTTCCTCAGCTTTGAAGGTTTGGAAATAAGAAGCTGGCTCACACTAATCAAAACTCATGAGATACTGGTGAGCATACCAGTTTAAAGAATTCTAGCGAGAAATAAAATTTCTACAGATATCAGATATTTGAATCTTCTACTCAGGTTATTTTTCTTAAGAACTTGACCTGCAGTTCAACAGATAAGTACAAAGTTACTTTTGTGGAATCAGTAAAAAAGGAATGAATTAGATTATGCTATCCCAGTGAATACATTTTTCTGTCTAAGGACAGAGCATCTAGGAATATAGTATTGGAAAATCCACTCCTCTGTACAGGGCATTTTCTCACTTCATGATGTTGAAAAGGATAGTATTATAACTGTGTTTGGAACACTCCCCCTTTTGAAGTTTCATGTTAATAATCGGTTCACACATTTCTTCCTTTAGTCATTTTAGTACACACCTAAGCCACAGTCAAGCCCTATTGCTATTGGTTTCCAAAGGAAATCACATTGTTCTTTGAAGATAATACGCTGAATTCATTAGTTTAGCTTTTAGAGGTGGT